TCTGTAATGTAAAGAAACATTTTATAAGAATGTAAGATTCGGCATATGATCTTGGGCAAGTTGGTTAACCGCTCAGCCTCTGCTGACTTGTTTATAAAAGATTACTCTCTGCCCTGCCTACTAAAAACAGCAGTTTTAGAATCCAAAGGAAAGATCTACATGAAGCCAGTTGGCAGTCTATCAGGATATAGTCACTTTTATCGATCAACCCTTTACTTGCTAGCAACAGAGAAAAGGGTTCGTGATTACACCAAGAATATGATGGCACAGAGGTTATGACTTCCAGAACTTCTGCCTCCTGAAATTCTAGTAAAGAGTATTCTTTCCTGATAGAACACCAGCCAGCCTTTTACCTTTCCTTTCAGTTCCTTCAGGAGGAAAGACACAGGCTGTCCATGCAAGTTCCCACTTGTGGTCGTCAGCGGAGTGTTGATGTCAGTGTGAGCATCCACCCAAATGACCCTGAGATCCGGGTGGACCCTGGCATGGCCAGAGATGCTTCCGATCGCCAGACTTTGGAGAAAAACATTTTATGTAAATATCAGGTTTGTAGCATCATTACATACATCATATTAACTCAGTGCTCCCACTTGGTTTTTCTTTGCGTGAATGAGGCTGATATTTCTAGTAGGTTTAAATGAGAGATGGCAAACATAACAATGAAAAATAGCTCACACTTCATATTTATGAACAAGTTGTATTTATATCCATAGCATTACTATAAATATGATGATGTGTTTTCAAAAGACATCTTGTAATAAAATGACAAATTGTAGTTTAGCTAAAAAATTAATTAGTGTAAACAACCCAGCCACCAAGAAGTTCCTTAGCACAAGACACTGTTTAATTCTTACAGTTAGATTTGGAGCATTTTCTACAGACTTATCTCTCTTGATAAATTCTTAGTTCTCCCAAGTGAATGGCATCCTTGCATTTGTCTAGGAATCCAGCCCTTTTATAACTGAGGAGCATCGTTCAGAAGTTCTACGTCCCCGTCAGCCAGCATGTCCACGTGGGCATCACTCTGTTTAACACTCGACCCTCTGCTCTACTTTCTACCCTCCTGCCAGGCACGTACGACCCCAGGAACCTACAAATTCATCCCAAGGACTCTGGGCTCCAGCCATTTTGCCTAAATGGAAGAGCTACGTAATGTGTTGCACAAAGATGAAAGATTAGGATTCACTGTACACTATTCCCACTTGGGGACATTCATGTATTTTCAGAGAATTATGAAGTTTCAGACTCTCAAAATGGAAACAGCCATATCTGATGTTCAGGTGTTGGTTATTCAGCTTCAGGTTCTTGTCATTTCACCATTT